TTGTTTAAGGGTGAAAGGCAAGCCATTGGCCTAAGTGGAGAGATGGGATCTTTGGCCTCTCTCTGCTTGAGGATCCATATTGATCCCTTGCTTATTTAGGGAAAGATCTTGTTTGGGTCGTAGAGAAGAACCCTTCGGCATACTCTGAGACCTGTACAACCTCAGGTTGTGGCCGCAGTCCTGTTTTCTTGAACTGGAGGAACACGCCTGCAGCGAGCTGGCGCTAGAGGGGGAGCCGCACTGCACCCTGGTGGGGATGGAGGAATGCAAATATCCTTGGGCTCCAGCAGCAGTTCAGGCTTCCCGAGAATGCTGTGCCAGGTTGGTGGGATTCTCACATGGAGAGATGGATGGGGGATGGATTGAGGTTCGGGGTCTGGAATCTCAACACCACTCTTAGATGTGTGGTCACTTCCAGTTAACACTGCTAGCCCGCTGGTTAGTAAGCCTGTTGGCTTTCGGGAGGATGAGAAGATGTTATTTCTGTAAGGTGCTTAGGACAGTGCCTGGTACGTGCTCCGTAGTGTTTATACTTAACCCATATCTGTAGCAGCATTGCTGTGCAAACCTCCTACAAGGCGCTGTTTGATTTCCTGATTCTTAGTGAGAAAGCCCAAGGGAAGCCTGGCGAGCAGTGGTGGCAAATAGAGCTACTATTCCTTGTCTTCTTTCCCCCTCTTTGTATTCTTTCCACATCCCTCATCAGCTGCCTTCCCCAAATATTAATGGCAGGCCTCCTGGGTTCCATTTCATTTCTGCCCCTTCCCCTGCAGTCCCATCGCTCACCCCTACCTTTCCCCCTCCTGTCCCCGTCCTGGTCCTACCTGTGGGAAAGGCCCCTCTGCCTGTGGTTTGCATTCCTGCCACTTCCTCTGCCCCAGTGGTATTGAAAACTGACCACAATTGCTAGGAAATTATAGCCTTGGCTTGGTTGGGCTTCCGTTGTTTGCTTCCCTGTGTCCTCGACTTCGCTGCTCCCATGTGGAGTGATTTCTTTCACCAAGTGTTGTTTTCCTTTTCTCTGCCTGTGTTTGCACGGAATGCCATGAATTTGATATAGTGGTTGCCTAACACGTATACCACGTAATAGTATTTTATTTCTTTCTGAAGCGCCATTTGCGTGACAAATGAGTTGGTCACATTTGTGCAACTGCTTGCAGCTGTGTCGTTCAATATGTAAAGAATGAGCCTTTTGGCATCAGTACTGGCCCTATGTATTCTAAGAGGGCTGGAAACTGATGCTTCAACAAAGTTAGTCACAGCATTTTGCAGAGTTCTGTCTATATCATCACAATGGGTCTCAGTGATGAAAAATACAGACTCCACTAGAGCCACCCCAGTGGTAGTGCCCAGTGTGGACTTTGTTGGTTTGTCAGGTTTCCTTGTGATTGGAGACGCTGCTGCCAGCGCCGCCGCCGCACACCCCTGGGGCCAGCTGACACTCCCCGCCCCTCCATGTGTCTTCCCTCTGGCCTGGAACCCAGTGTGTGTCCAGCAGTGCCCCCCACCCACCACAGTCCCCCCTTTTGCCTCCGTGGTGGCTCTCGGCCTTGGCTCTTGGCCTCGTCCCAGGCCTTGTTCGCTGGGTCCAGCAGGCCTTTGGTGTGGCAGTGTGCCCCCACCTCGGGCGTGTGAGTCCATCAGTGCTTCCTCCCGCCCTCACCATCTTATAGGAAAAGGCAGTTAGTAAAAGCCTCACAAGTCAGTCCTCCCTCCAGGTCCCTGCCTTTCCTCTTCCTGCTGAGCTCTCTGCTCCAGCCCTGTCCCTCCCTGGATTGCCAGCCCCTCTGGGTCCTCCATCAGCTTTCCCTGCTTCAGCGAAGTGAGCCTGTTGCTGTTCACTTTCCTCCACACAACCGTCCCCAAACTTCCTTCACAGCCTCCTGTCCCCCCTCCAGGGCAGGGCCTCAGTGCTTCCTTGCCACCCCTGCCCCATGGGGGGCTGCCCGTGAGCCCTGTGGGCCATCTCTGAGTCCGCCTTTCTGTGTTGGCACCGTGGTTCCTCAGCTGGGCCTGTCTGTATTTTAAAGAAAAGGGCAATATTGCAAAGTCAACAGCTGCCCTGTGCACCTTCCTTTCTCGTCACTTTGTTGTGATTTTTTTTTAAGTCGAGCAGCTCATGTTGCGGTTGGTCTTCCTGATTTATTAAAGGCAAAAGAGGAAAAACAAGCTCTAGTGTCTACATCTACTTAGTAACCACATCCACACACTCAGTGACAGCGAGGGGCTGCTCGGAAGGTGCTCGAGATCCCCAGGGGGCCACTGCGCGCCGTCCTGCTGACCTCCCGTTTCAGCAGAGCCTTGCCACAGTGACAGCCGTGAATCTTTTAGTGGGTTCCGTTTTCCTCCTCCTCCTCCCGCAAGGCCCTGCACACATTTATCAAGTCCTTAGAGATGCTCAGGGACCGTAGACTTGTCCTTGATCTACCTTGTTGTTGGCCTCGTGTGTCCCTTAGCTATTCTGGGCTTCCTTCAAGCCGCATCATGGTGGCATCACACTGGGGGGTGGGTAGTGGGAGAGTGTAGTTGAAAAGAAGGTGCAGTGTGGGTGCCATTTGGGGCTCCGATTTGGACTGGAATGGCCCCGCACTGCCCAGCATCTCGTTGCCCCATCTCAGCACTGTGTGGAAGAGAAGGACCCTTTCCATCTCTCTGGGTCAATGAGGGGGCAAAGGGCATCACCAAGAAATGCTGGGATGGGTTTAATGGGCGGGTTTGTCACCTGCTTTTCTGATGACAATGAGACAAAACTCTAACTCTTTTGGCCTCTCTCACACTTTGATGTCTGTGGGTGAGCATTCCTTAAGAGGCGTGGAATGCATCCCCCAATGTCAAAAATGAATTGTGTGTGAAGAAAATGTAATGCTTTCAAACTGTTTCTTTTGGACATTGTCCATGATTAGATTACACTAAATTACAGAGTACAGATACCAGGCAATTACTCTTTGCTTTTAACTGTTCAATTTCACTGCAAATCTATGTAGCTCAGTAATTATAAAATCACACCGATGTGGTTACGGAGAAAATGTCTTATCATCTCCGTCTTGTGCATCTAGGTTCAGGTTGCGCTGTGATTACCTGTGGTCCTGTTATGCATGTGGTGCCTTCCACAGGGAGACAGGGTGATCTGGAACTGTCCCTAGTTGCCAGGCGTCTGCACAGAGTCTTGCAGATTTTGCTGGACAAACCTCAGCCAGATGTGAGGAAGAGTCCAGGCCCCTCCCCACCTGATCTGGGCTGAGTCCTGGTCCCGGCATTCTAGCACTTTTGTCAGGACCGTGTCTCCTTACTTCTGTGAAAACATGGTCATTTTCTCTTGGCTGAGCTCACAGGATCCTCCCCAACCTTCCCCCAATTTTAATTTCTTCCAGGGCTGTGCGGGTCCTGTAAGCAATCCAGTCTGCTGTCCCAGAAACTGGAGGATTGTGTTGGAGGAAAAGAATTATTTGAGCCGATTGTGAGAACAGTGGTAGGAGGAGAAAAAGGAGAGAAGAAAGGAACGGACACATCAAAATGGGGCCCTGGCTGCAGTGCATACGGATGCTGGCCGTGGATCCTGTTGCAGCTCATTACCCAGAAGCACATCAGAAGCAGCCGAGTGGGGGTCTCGGACAAGCCAGCGGCAGCACTGAGCTTTGAGCAGGGCCGTTCTGCAGAACAGGCAGTGCCCTCACACTTCAGGGGCTGTGCTTGCTGATCCAATTCCCATTAAACAGAGATGTAGACTACATGAGGCGAATCTCCTAAGGGTCTTAGTTCCCTCCCTGGCGCCTGTTCCAAGGCTGCTCTTCAGTTCCAGGATCCTAGAGAAAATTCCTCAGAGGGCCCTTGGGGCCTCTGCTCCAGATGCGGGCACCCCACTGGTGACGGGGGAGGCGGTCTCGCTGTAGGGGCGGGTCTGAGCAATGGGCAAGTAAGCGCCATGAATCTGTGCTTTCCCACGTGGGAGGAGACCGAGCATTTTGTTTTCCTGCTTCTCGGAGTGCATTACAGATAGTTCAGTGACTGGCACGGGACTCGGCGGTGCCAGGAGTCTTGGATTCAGTTCCTCCCAGTTGCAGGCCTTAGAGGTTCCTGTGTTCCTCCTCTCTCTCCCATGTGCCCTGCTGTGGCCCTGGCTCCATTTTTACCTGGCATCTTGGCAGCGTCTCCTGGACCCTGCAGCTGCACTTGGGTTTCACAGTGGTGCATTGGAGCGCATCGGAAACTGCACCGCAGCGGGCGAGGGTCTGGGTGTTCCTTGGGAGTATTCAGAGCACCCCAAGGGAGTGTCCTTTTCAAGGGCTGGGGCTTTCTTGTTCCAGTAACTGCTCTCCGGCTGAGCCCCTGCACTGGCTCGTGTGGGCGGAAATATGGAGCGGGCACTGCGTCTAATTGCTGGTAACCTAAGGTTCCCGTATGGCCCCAGCTTATAAATAAATGAACATTCATTAATGTGAAATTCAATTAGAATGAAATGCCCCATCCAGTTTTGTGTAGAAGGCAGAAATAAGTGGGTTGGTGGTGTGATTTTGCTGCAGATGCTGGAGCATGGAGTCACAGGGTGACAATAATAATAGTAATTTGCTCTTTGCTGGTGCCTCCATGCTCTCATCTGCAGGCGGGTGTCACCGCCGTGCTTCTCAAAGGTTCACTGAGGTTAAAGGCCAACAGGAGGTCGGCAAGGGGCTGTGCAGAGGCCTTCACATCTCTGGCCCATTACACCTGGAGCTTGTTGGTGAACAGAAAATGCACCAGGATTCAGGAGACCTGACTCCAGCCCTTGCTCAGCCACAGACTCAGTGTGGGCAGAAAACGCCGTCGCTGTGGGCCTGTTCCTCACCTCTCACAGAAGGGCCAGTGCAGCAAATCTTCCAATTCTGTGGTCTAAATTAATATTTGAACTCAGAAAAGACACACATTTTGCTAATGTATGCACCATTTGTGGCCAAACTCCCTCTGAACTTTATTTTTCCCATTATGGCATGATCTGAGATTGACCTTTGGAAATTAAGATGTTAAATAAAAGAGTCATTTATGTATATTTCACGTTTTATTTGCTGGAGGGGGATTAGCTTGGGAGAAGGTGATTTCCTTCCAGTCCCAACGCCGGGCCACGCAGCCTTCCGGGGCCTCCCCGGGGTGACGCTCTCAGTTTTGGTGGCCACCTGCCTCTTTCTCCCAGGAGTGGAATGGACTGTCATTTGGCTGTTGGAGGAAAGCAAAGAGTTGCAGCTCAGTAGTGGCAGCAGGCTTGCTTATGAGCTTGTGAAAGAAACCACCGTGTCAACCTGCCTGCAGGTCCCAGGGAGGAGGGCACCCGGGAGGGGCGTGTTTTGCCAGGCTCCGGAAGGTCTACTACCTTCCCCTGTAGCCTGGGGCGATCATTGAACCCCTTTCTCCACTTTTGACACTTCCTCCCTGCCTTTCTCCTCTCCTGGGGACTGTGGGAAGTAATCAGTGGCTGTTTGTCAGCCCAGACCTTGAACTGGGCAAGGCCAAAGGAGGCTCAGGACTTTGATGTGCAGAATGGTGAAAAAAAAAAGCAGGCTTTGGCCAGACCGCACTTTTTCCTTCAGAGAAATCACCACAGTGTTTGGGGAGGGAATGGACACATTTGGAGCAGGGGAGGGTTGGAGCGTTGTCATTCCTTGTAGCCCTCTGCCAGAAAGGTGTCTGGGCTCCGAGCCGGAGCCATCAGCCGGCCCTGGAGACGCCCCGGCTGGAAGCTGGGCTCCTCGGGCTCCAGCAGCCACCTGAGCCTGCCCTGCTCCATGATGAGGCTTAGTGACCGCAGGGCAGGGCACCCTTGTAGGAGAAAGCAGCTTCAAGTTCTCAGGTGCAGAGCAGACAAACAAACGGCCATCCCCACACCCCGGCTCAGACTGCTCACTGCTGAAACGCTAATTCGGGGTGGGCGGAGGCTGGCCCTGTGCAGTGATGCCCGCCCACACTCCCGCTGGACCGTCCTGGGTGGACAGCAGCACCTCGCTCAGCAGCCCTTCCACGGCGGCCCGGTACTTTTCCAGCTGCCTGGAGTCCATCCTTATTCTAATTTCCATGGGAGCAGTCAGCTGTGAAGGCAGAGTTAACAAGAAGTGTGAGGCAGGGAGAGGGCCATTAACCCCTGGGTGCCCCGTAGGAGCCACCCCGCTCTGCTGGCCCCACCCTGCCCAGTCCTCTGGGCTTCTAGGGCCAGCTTGGAATTCTGGCACCCCCTTCATATCTCCCCCATTTTCAGTCCCCCCCCCTTCTCCAGTTCTAACCGGGGGGCTGGATCGTGGAAACCACTGAGACCTTCTGGGAGGATGATTAACAAACCCCTGGTGGGGAAGCTGGGCTGGGAGGGTGGAGCTGTCAGGAAGCCCCCTGGCTTTTGACTTGGCAGGTCACTCCCCTCCTCTGTCTCCCAGAAGGATGTACCACCATGGGCCAGGTGCCACCCCAGTGCCTTAGTGTATTATTATTAAACTTTTTAATAACCCTTTGGTGCAGAGACTATTAGTGCCCCCATTTTGCAAATGAGGAAACTGAGTACAAAGACATTGAATAGTTTGCTTGAGGCCACACAGGTGCTAAATAGCGAGGAAGAAAATAGTATACCCAGGGAGCCGGTCTCCAGGGTCAATGCCAAGGGCCACCAAGCTACACTTGCTCTAGCACTGTGCAGACACGAGTGAGGGCCTAGAGGACCTGTTTGGAGGCTTGCCACCAAGAGAGATTTTCATGGCAGGGTCAGCGGTGCTGACTGATCTTGCTGTCCCCCAGAGCTTCCTAGCTCAGTGATCTTGCTGGCAAACCAGCTCTCCACCTCCTACCAGGCTCTCCAGGGCTGGGGAATGGGCTCCGGATGCCTGAAGGGCAACCTTGGGCGCTCCTCTGGGAGTCTCTGGGTCCCAGCCTGGCCTCTGCCATTCACTTTGCTGAGGTTACGCCTTTCTCTGGGCCCCGCCTTCCTCACTGTAAAATGAGGGGACTGGACTGGATGACCCCTGAGGATCTTCCTGGACTGTGTGGCATAATTCTAGGGAGATGGACAGGGCAGGAGAGGTGCCTCACTCCAACAGCCTCCGAGAGACTGCACTGGGCGTAGCGTGTACCATGGAAACCTCAGTCACCGCACTGACTGCCTCCGCTGCACACGAGAAGGCGGTTTCGAGCCAGCTCCCCTTTGCCAGCCGAGTGAATCGCTCCCGGTTCCTCCTCAGGAGCCGAAGGAGCTCCCGCCCAGCGCAGTGACTGCACCAAGACTGCTTCCTGGGCCATACGTCTGACCTCCCTGTTTGGGGACAGCACGCTGTGGCAACCCAAGGGGGTGGAAGGATCACCTGCTAGTGTTCAGGTGGCTGCTCGGTTCTACCCTGACCACTGCGTGACCTTGGCAAGGCCCAAACTCTCTCTAGACGTCAGTCTCCCTCCCCCACCCCCGCAGGCATCTCTATAGGGAAGTGCCTTGCACTCGGTCCTGGGGCCTCTCCCTTCTCCATCTACCCACACCCACATCACGAGCTCACCTGTCCTGGACTGGAATTCCATCTAATTGCTGATGACTCTCACATATGTCTCCAGCCCTGAACTCTCCGAAGTGCTGACTCGTATATATCCACCTGCCCATACAGCGTCTCCCCCACTTGCCTGACAGGCATCCCACAGTTCACAGGTCCCTGATCTTCCTCTTGTCAACCTGCAGCCAACCACAGGCTCCACCATCTCAGGTGCTCCAGCCCAAATCCTTGACGTCAGTTTTCTCTTTTCTCACACTCTTATACGTTCTTTCAGCAAATCCTGTGGGTTTCTAACTCCAAAATATTTCCAGAATCAGACCCCTTTGCTCTGCCCCCACCATGACTGCCTGGGCTGAACCACCCTCCCCCGGATACTGCTGCGGCCTCTTCAGTGGTCCCCCTGCTTCTGCCTTTCCCCTCGGCCTGTTCTCAACACAGAAACTGAGAAGACTCTTTGAAAATGTAAACCAGATCATGTCCCTCCTCCGCCAAAGCCCACGAAGGCTCCCAGTCAGCAGAGTGAAAGCCAAGTCCAGAGAAGGTGAAGTCCGCAGTCCGGACTCACCTCCCACTCTCCCCAGAGTCCCTCCCCCGCGGCCGCCCGGCCTCTCCATCGTCCCGAATGCTCCGTATTTGGAACCTCAGGGCCTCGCCTGCTCTTCCCTCTGCCTGGCCTGCTCTTCCCCCAAACATTCTTTTGCTTCTGTCCCTCATTCTCTTCAGGGCTTCACATTGATACCATCTAACCACAAAATCTGCTCTATCACCCCTTTTAAAATCACAACCAACTCCATCTGCTTTCCCTGCGTTATTTTCCTCCACTGCACATATCACGGTCTGCCATACCACAAAGTTTGCTCATTACCCTGCTTGTGGTATGTTGCCTATCCTTCTGGCATCTGTTCTGGCCGCCCACTGGGCGGAGGACCACTGGGAGTGCCACGAGGGCAGTGGGTTTGTAGTTTCACTCACTATTCTGTCTCCGGGGCCACACACGTAGCGGGAGTGTTCATGTCCTGGATACATGACTGTGAGTCACAGAGGTGTGCTGGACACACTCGAGGCTCTCCAGTCGGGGCGATCCATGCATCCTAGAGTGTCGCTGAAAGGCCTGGGGCCCTGGGCCTGCGGCTGCCTCCCAGGGTCCTGTCTAGGTGGAGGGACCTCGTCCTGATTACCTCTCTCCCGACCAAGGACTGCACCTGCCCCCTGACTACTGCCTTCCCCATGCTGTCCAGTGGTCTCTGGCCCACCAGACTCTGCCGACCTATTGCCCTCTCTCAGGGCACCCTGGCCTCGAGGACCCGAAACCCAGCATGTGCCTCCTGAGCGGGACCATTGCACTTCTACTGGGACGTCCCTGCTCTAACTCCTCACAGGGAGGGGCCCCTTCTCATCATTCAGGCTTCAAATCCAATGTCCCCTCCTCTAGGGGCCTTCCCTGGCCCCCTCCCCACCCAGATCAGTGCCCCCAAATCACACCCCATCATGCTCTATAATACCTCCTTATTTGGTGCCTAAAATGGTTTAGTGTCTCATAGCACATGTCTGTCTCCCCTCAGGATGGAGTTTGTTGCCTGACCGGCTGGCTCAGCGCCTCGCCCAGGTGCACCCCATGGCTGGGGGCCGGGGTGGGGGAGGCCCGCACCAGGCTCTCTGCCTTGTCCGCTCACCCCGAAAACTTGGTCTTCTTTCTCCCCTGTGGGCTCTGCGAGGTCCAGAGCACCCGTGTCTTCAGACCACTGCTGTTCACTCAGAGATTTCTTTTGCCCTTTGCTCCGCTCCTTTTCCTGTGGGGTCAGAGGATAAAATCACACCTGCCCTCCTCCCAGATGGCCCTCGTCTGTTTCCGCCCAAGGTGCCAAGTGGCCTGAGCTCCCCTCAGGCCACACCCCCCACGCCCCCCGCCCCCCGCCCCCCCCCCCGCCCGCTCCCCAGGCGCCTCCTGCATGAGGAGTCGCGGACACCCAGAGGCTGCCCCTGACCGGTCAGCATGGGGAGGAGTCCGTGCCTTTGAAGTGAAACATTGTGCCCAGATTGTTACTGTTAATTAAGTTAAAATGTTGAAAATAATGGATGCTCTTCATGCATATTAAGTGTGAAAATGTGTTTCTCTTAGCAGAGAGCCCATAAAAAAAGGTGGCAAGATAGCCTGGCCTGTGAGGGCACCCTGGGGTGGCCCAGACACCGGAGTCCCTCCTGGTAGGTGGTTTATAAAGGGTGAGACAGAGAGAAGAATTATGGAGGAAGAAGTTTGCAGCTTCTTCCTAAAAGTCCCATGGCCTGGCAAATACGGGGAGCAAAACCACACAGCAGATTAATGCAAAGCGCCCTTTGGTTGTCATTTTGCTAGTTTCTGTTCCAATGAGTTTGACCCTCCGTCCAGCCCTGGGCTTGCCGGGCCTCACAGCACTCGGACCAGATGCAGTGCTGTGCTGGTTCCCCTGAGGACACCCTTGGGGCTCAGCTCAGGGCCAGCCCTGAGACGGGGCAGTTCTAGAACAGCAGGCTGTCTTTTCTGGAGAGGGGGCGGGTGCAGGACGGTGTGTTCAGGGTCCCCCCTCAGTTTCTCTGTCCCTGAAGCAGGGGATCTGGGTGAAGCCTTGTCTCTGCAAGGGGTGCCTGTCCTGGACAGAGGGTGTAGGTGCAGGGGCCACACGCCCTCCCAGGGACTGACTTAGGCATTTGTCCCTATGGGAGCCTCCGTCCCCCAGTGGTGGGACGCAAAAGTCCCATTTCTTCGTCTCCTTGGGCAAAAGAAACCAGTGTTGGCAGACGCTCAGAAACATGTGTGTCAAGTGAGTCACGGGGAGGCAGGCCCGGCAGCCCAGCTGTCCCCAGGCTCTGCCGTCCCCTCCCTCCCGGAGGACACAGTACGTCTGCTGGGTCTCCTCCTGGGCTCCAGACGGGAGTCTGTGCCCCTGCTCCCCGGAAGTCGCCCCACCCGTCCTCCTCCTCCTTGGGTGTCAGCCCCCCCATCCCCGCAGGCTTCCCAACGGGCACCAGCCCATCGCGGTTTCTCCCTCCTCTGAACCCAGCACTTACCAGCAGCATCGCTTGTTGGGCAATTAATCACCCCCTGCCTGTGACATCTCCCTTTTGTCTTCTATTGTTAGTGAATCTTCCCTGTGTTTGTGTCTTGGCTCCTGAGCTGCCTTGGATTTCCTTGTATGTCTGGCCTCTCACCCAGTGTATTGACTTGTCAATTGGAAATTTCCTTGGAAGGCTGAGCAGGAGTGGGAAAAGATGTCACTCCACTGACACCTGTGAGTGGCCCCGGTGGAGGAGCAGAGGCGGCCAGGGGGACAGCTGGAGTCTGGGCTTCTCTCAGGGCCAGGTCCTTCATGCTGTCCTCAGTATCACTGGCATAGCTGATTAAACGTAGGTTTGCTGAAGAGGCACTTGTGCCTTAGAAACACTCACACGTCTTCAGTGCTGAGCAGGGCTGTGAGTGGCTGGGCCGCGCTGCGGAGGGGAGCAGAGGAGGTTTCTTACCTGCATTTTCTTGACCTCGCTGTAGGTGAAGATGGGAACGAAGGCTTCTGTCTGGGAGGCCAGCAGAGCAACGGCATGAACCACCAGCAGGGCAGCCACGGTCTTGCAGGACACCATCCTGAAGCTGGACAAAGAGGGGCTCCTGTCCTGGAGTTTGGGGCAGCGGCGGACTCCTGCATCAGATGGAGGCCGAGCCCTCAGCTCCAGGCCTTGCCTGCCTGTGGCTGTGTGATCTTGTGTGGGCTGCTTAGCCCCCCTGGACGTGGGCCTGGTATGGGGCTTCACTAGATAAGCTCAGAACCCCCTGTCTGCCCCAGAGCTGTGAGGGCTGACCGGGAGAGGCGTCTGGCCCCTGCCTATACCAGGAAGAATCACTCTACTTGTGGGTCCTTCTCTTTGTCAGAGGTGAGGTCAGCTAGGCTCCTGAAGTGGCAGGGGCCTTGTGTCTCTGAGAACAAACTCCTGGATTACTAACAGAACTATGCCCCAAGACCCACACTGCTCCCTCAGCCAATTAGGGTGTTGAAAGGGATGCACCTAGGCCCAGATGACCCAATTGTACTTGGAAGCCCCAGGCCAAGATCCTGGACTGTGTAGAGGCAGAGGCAGAAGGAGTAGTGTCCAAGAGCTGGGAGTGGGGTCCCCACGCAGCGCTCTGGGGCCAGTGCCGACTCTGGAATGAGCCCCTCCCAGTTCCCGTGACTCTAATTGCCTGTTCACCGCCATGTAGAAACAGCAGGGGGGCACCTGTTCCCTGCAAACCCCCCCAACCCCCGCCCACCTCAGCATGTCATGAGTGCAGGGGAGGTGTAGGGGGGCCCTCCTGTATCTCAGGAGGTGGCTATGTCCAGGTGGGCTGTGGAGACCTGGCAGGAAGCAGGTGATGCGGTGACTACAGAGACTTGGGAAGGGGTCAGCTGGCTGGGCTCTGGGCAAGGTCAGGAGGGTCCCGTGGGGAAGAGGGTGGGGTCTGCTGCGTGCCAGCCTCGGACGATCCCTTACATTGGTGCCAGGAGTCCCTCTCCTACCCTTTCCCACACAATCCTCAGGTCCACCTGGGCGCTGGTGTGATCTGGGGAGGGAAGGGACCTGGGGAGGTAGAGGGACTCATTCAAAGGCAGTGGGGGGCTGGAAGCCTGGCCTTCTGAGGCCTGGTGCTTTTCCCAGCCCCTCGCCGCATGTTACCTTTGGTCACAGAAGGCAGATAAGGGTGTTGGGGGGCAGGCCTGCTGAATGTACCCGGGGCACCAATGCCCCTGTGCCGGGTGGACTGCGCAGGAGGCGAGGGGCCCGGCCTCCAAGGCAGGAGGGGAGACCAGGGCAGCCTCTGCTGCAGGAGGCGTGGAACCATTATAGGGTTTCAGATCACAAGCTTCCGGGGGCCCCTGGGAGCCTTCTACAGGGTTCTGTTTAATAGGAATGACCTGCCTGAGCTGGCCTCCGGGCTTCTCCACAGGCCCCACGCTCTCTGCCTTTGGACAGAGTCTTCCAAGCCCGGTGTCCTGCCTCTCAGCCAGGACCGGGCTCCTCGGGCACCTAAAACCACGTGCACGCAGCAGAGCACTCCCTCTGCCTTCCTGCCACCCTGTGGCCCTGTCCTACTTTCTTCCCTCCTCTCGATACAACTCCATGAGCAAAACCATCAGTGTTCAGACAGCCAAAGCCTCCCACGCTAGCTGCATACAGATTCCAGGCAGGTGGGGAGGACCACCACCCACCGAAGACTGCCCGCCTCTCCTGTAGGACCTTGAGAGGACAGAGGACACGGGGGGTGGGGAGCTCCGAATCACGGTCCCTCCCACTGATCCTATCTTTCTGCTCTGCATTCTCTGGGTGCCTGTCCCTCCCAGAGGACACAGGTGTGTCACATTTATGGTGTCCCATTCCTTCATGGAGATCCCTTTCCATTCTGGTGTTGGCATCTAATTCACTCCGTAAGAATCGATGAAAACTTGAAGTAAAAAAGGCAAAATCCATGTCACCTGCATTCACTTGTGTTCTGGGAGCACAGAGCTGGGGGTGGGGGCCGCTGCTCATTGGGTGTCGAGTGCGGATCTCTCATTCCATCCCCGGGGCGGGGCTGTGCCTTCACGTACTCAGCTCTGGACCAGCGGCGCCTGTCCCCCCCCCCACCGCCCTCCCAGGCCTGCAGTCCTAGGGAGCAGCTTTCCCCTTAACTTTCCAAGGCAAAGCCTCCTTGCCGTGTGGGGTCCTTTGTTCCTGCTGAAGGTTTTGGCTTGGGTTTCTGGCTGGTAGTTGGTGGCACCACTGACCCCAAACAGCCTCTCTGTTGCCAGGAATTGCACTCACCTGCTCCCCCTCCGGCCTCCCTGCCTCAGGGCAGCCCTGCCTCTGCTTGCTATGTGCGCCTTCAGCCTGCTCCTGGAAATCAGCTGGGGCACTCGCTCGGAATCCCAGCCTCGCATGTGAAGGTGGCAGAGGGACGTGGGAGCTGGTCAACCCCGGGTCTCGTCCTCAGCACCTCCAGCCCCGACTTCCCTCCACGGCTACTCACAGTGCGAATGCGGTCGGTCCGTGCGGGCCTGGCGGGTCTCTCCGCTTGTTCTTTGGTGTCTGGTCGGCCCGGCTGGCCCTTATATACCTCCAGTCTCCCCTCTGGAGCCCATTAACCTTTGGCCACACCTCTGGGGGCTCTGGGTGGGGAGCCTGGATTCTTGGGGCTCATGGAAACAGTGGCAGGGCCTGCCTCGCGGTGGACCGTGGGGCTTTCCCGAAAAGCCTCTTCCTCGAGCCACAGCCGGGGTTTGGTGGAGAGCAGCCCCCACCCCCGGCACTCTCCTGTCCACTCTGAATGCCAAGCTGCTGCCCAGAGGGTCATTTTAACGAAAGCCCTTTCTTTTTTGTTATTGAAATCTGTGATGTTGTTGAGCATCTCCAGGCCGGCTCTGGCGATCGCACTCCCTGTCGGGCTGTCAGAGCACCGTATTGGGAAGATGACTCCCCTGCAGTCTCCCCCTGAAGCCCCTCGTGGAAGAAAGGGCTCGGCAGTGCGCGCAGCGTTTCAGTGGACTAATGGAAGGAAAATGACGGTCCAGGCCCGGGCTGTGGGGCACCAGAGGCCCCGTGGGAGGCCAGGAAATCCATAAGGTGGGCGGACAGAAGGTTTATATGCCTGTAGCCTAAATGGAGAGACGGGACTCTCATCCAGGAAATGTGGTGTGGTAATTGTGTAATTCTAATGGTCAATTTCCAGGTTCAAAGAGGGAAGAGGTGGGTGCGTTCTGGAGTGGGTTGGGCTGCTGCTGCTGGCTGCGTTGTTTCGCCTGGGGCTCCTGGCAGTGCTTGACGTGCGTAATCTAATTAAACCTCAGTGACCTCATGAGGGGTGCTCTTACTCCCCCCCCCTCGTTTTACAGGTAAGAAAACTGCAGCACAATTAAACTGCTCCTCTGTGACCCCACTACAAAGTCTCTTCTTCGTACAGGGGTCGAGGCTGACGTGGCCAGCTGTGGCAGAGGGAGGGAGTGCATCACCCACAGGCGTGGAGGAAGCCACAGTGCGGGGGTGTCACAAGAGGTCCCCTCTGTGGGTTGGGAGAGGGCCAGTCTGGGGTCTGTGTGTGTGGGTGCTTAGAAACCAAGGAGAGATTTGAATTTGATGATGGGGGGGCCTGGGCTCCTCATGGTGCCTTGAAGAGGGTGCTGTGACAGAAGTGTCACGCTGGTGCAGACACTGGAGCAGGGAGGAGTGAGGCCCGGAAACCAAGGGAGGCAGCTGGGACAGACGGTGTAGAGTCCCGAGGGTCTGGGCAGGCAGAGGCCACGTCCCCAGCTGCACCTCGCTGGCCACTAGTACCTTCCGGAGAGGCTGCCCCAACATCCAGATGGGGACCGCATCTTGTCCCGGAACCTGGCCCCTGTCAGCCCTTCAGTGTGGCTCTGGCTTTTCCCCTCAGAGAGGAACAAAGACCTGTAGTGCTTGAAACCCGACCCCGACAACCTCCAAATTCCCGGCTCCCCAGGCTTCCCGGCCACATGGTCTCTGTACTCCACTCCGAGGCGAGGCCGGAACTCCTCCAGTGGCCGGACTGCATCCATCTCAGAGGAACTGGAGCTTGAGATGCTGGAGCTTGGAACTGAGTGGCCATCTCCTAACCTTGGCCTGACTGGAGTCTGAATATACCACCCATTTCCAGAAGGGCTTTTAAGATGAGGTCACAGACCTTAGTGGGGTCAAGGCAGCCTGCGGCCAGCGAAGGCGCCCCTGGTCCCCAGGCCTGGGGAGGCTCTGCCCGCGCCCCGGGCTCCTGTGTCAGGACACAAGGGCCGATCCAGACCCCCACCCATCTTTATACAGCCGCACGGCTAAGGGTCATTTTTACATTTTTAAATAATTCAAAAAAAATCAAAAGAATAATAATATTTAGTGACTTGAATTTAGGTGAAGTTCAAATTTCCGTGTCCACAAATAAGGTTTTTTTTAGAACATTCACAGTCATCCGTGTGTGGTCCATGGCTGCTTCGGGGCAACAGCAGCGGAACCGGAGAGCGGGGCCAGGCATGAAGGCCCACGAAGCTGGAAATAGTTATTGCCTGGGCCTTACAGAGAAAGTTTGCTGGCTCCTGACCCCGACAGTGTCTGGAATGTGGATAATGCTCCAGGTGTAATAAATGACAGCCAGACACAACACCTATCAGCTTTTAAAAATCTCACAACAATCCTATGAGGTCGGTGTGGCTATGATCCCATTTTACGGGTGGGAAAACTGAGGGTAAAGGACTGCTGTAAGATCACACAGCTTTTAACATGCCAGGGTCATGATTTAAACCCAAGAGTCTGGTTTCAGGATCCACTGTGCTTTTTTTCCCCTCTCAGTGTCTGCTGTGTGAGCACATGGCAGTGCACAGCTGGAGAAGGCCCTTAACATGGCCTGGTCCAAATTCTACAAACCCGCCCCCCTTCCCCTGAGCCACCTCCCCACAGGTATTGGAGCATAATGAGTCTGTGCTGATTGGCGGGACAGACGCTGGTATTCCTGTGTGTCTGTAGGCTTGGAGAGTTCAGACCGGACCCAGGAGGACTGCAGGTGATGGGCCAGACCACCCACCAAGCACCAGGGGAATTGTTCCCCGCCACCCTCCACACCAGCGCTCCGA